TTCCTGGATATGGTCCCTTGTTAGACTCTGCATTTGTGAGGATCATCAAAACACCTAGAATATAACAGTATAGGTCATAAATTCGAGCTAATAGTTATTAATTTTGTAGTAAAGTAGACTATCTACATCAAACTAACCCCTTAGGACGCAATCCCTCCCCCAACCTTACTTAAATGCATAATACTTTATATATGTGACTTTCATTTTTTTTCTCACATTTGATAAAAGGTGGACAATTTTTTTTATAAGAATATCAAAAACTGGTCAAATAATTCAAAGTCCATCAAAAGGAAAATACCTAATAAGAAAAAAGTATTTTACTTGAGAAAAAAGAACAAACATTGTTTGTGCACCTAATCACGATTTCATAATCCAATTCAATCTACCATGTACAATTTCCACAGTCTACAAGCATCTGTTGACAAAATAAACAAATATAATTTTGCCACTGGTAAGTTGTCAATTTATAGGTTTGCCAAATAATAGTGCTGTTAGAGTTGCACACAAACGGTTTATAACCCCAAATATTATTGCCACGTGTTGAATTATTGTCCACCTACGAAGGGGAAATCTAAGACAAGACCACGTTAAACATAGAAACTAGACGGCTTTTAGACCTACTTTGACGGATCGTTTCATTGGGAACAAGTTATTTTGGAATTAATTATGTCGAGATAAGCTATATCTTGAGATAAGTTGTTGTATCATGCAAATGAGATAACTTATCCCATCACTAAAACATAAATGGTGGGATAAATAATTTCAAAATTATCTAATAGCTCCAATCAAACACAAAATAAAATAATCATATATTTTATCCTGCGATTATTATACCTTACAAGTTACATCTCACCTTAATACCTTAAAGTTAGTGTGTTTTGCTCCTTACAAAAAGATTGATAGGAAATAATTGGAAATTAAATATGAGAAGTTGTAGTAGACATGATATATACGAAAGCAAAACAAAATATAATTGGAAAGTGTAAACAAGTACAAACGTGGGTACATGCCCAACTAAATTTCTAGCTGTCCTTGTGACGAAAAGCCAACAAATTTATTTACTCTACTTAGTAATGCATATGCTTCATTCTACAAATGAAAATAACAACACAAACAAATTAATTAAATTAAATATCCAACCAATAATCCACAGTTGACATAAGATTGTGATTTCTTCAAATAATAATATAAAGATTATTTCCTATATGCCTATCTCTATCGACTAGCTAGCAACAGAAAGAGGGACGTTATGTAAGCCAACAAACATTATTTTAATCGACATAACAACCGCTTGTCCTGCCTAGCTGTACAAAACATTTAAAATGAATTCTGTTTTTGGTTTTTCATCTGATGTTTGATATTTATATTGGAGTCTGATAATTTTGGATTCGCATCGTGTAGAGTTGCTTTGTGGAGAAATGCTCCATACCAAATATCGTTTCATATGGCTCGAATTTGAGACACTGATTAAGAGAAAAACAATCTCACTCACTGCACCATATATGTCTGGTAGTCCTGCTAAATCTTAAGATTCCCAATATCCTACGTATATATATTTGTGCGTTCAAATGTCACCCTCGACAAACTTTAAAGAGTTGAAAGCATGTCACTTAATTTACAGTAATTGGTTATTAAAGTCATTCAATTTATTGTCTTCTAAAGGTTATTTAACTTTGTCTTAATTTTCGTGGTCATTCTACTTTATCAGTAAATTTACATGGTCATTTAGCTAGAAGTATAATTATGATACTTATTTTAATTAATGGCCTGAGTAAATTTTTACAAAAAATATTTAAAAAATGAAAATCAATATTAGATAAATGTGCATAAACTCAAATTTTAAACCAAGAGCAAAGTTAATTTTTTTTCATAAATTACAAGGGCAATTTTGGACCTTGGTATCACAATACTTTATCAATAAAACTCGAATTCAATGAAAGATGAGTGATTTTATAATCTTATTTCGAAAAAGTACAATTGTCAATTCGTTTTTCTATTTTCATAAGATAAGATGCAGGTCATTACTTCGTTTTGTAATATGTTTTTCAAACTTTTAGCAGAAGGTACACTCTAGGTAGATAGACAAATCATTTCAGATCCAGAATCATGAATTGTTAATTTTATAATCCATAGAAACACCTGTCACTAGATAAATGATTTATCCTATCAATTCAAGTTTCCTCATTAAATTTACAATTATGGAGTTTAACCACTTCAAATTAAAGTGCTTAATTTGATATTAGTATGCTAATAATATAATTATACACGTGGTATGAGCTGAAACGACATCTCACACATTGAGGGAGCACTGCATGTACATGGAAACACTTAACAAAACAAAAACTTGCAATTGGTTGTCAAAAAAAAAAAAAATCTATTTTGAGGTATGTAATTGAATAAATATTACTCCCTTCGTTTCAATTCAAGTGACACCTTTTGAATTTCGAGATTCAAACAAGTCTATCTTTGATCGTAAATTTTTCATATATCTTTTAAATATTTTGAATTGTAGTACTTTTTATGTAGTTTTAAGTACATAAAATTTCATTTTAAGAAAATTAAAGATTTCATGCGTAAATTTTCGATTAAACTTATATAATTTGACTTTAAAAAAAAAGAAAAATGTTGCATGAATGGGAAGAGGGAGTACTAGTATTGTGTCATAAGTCATGATGCCCAAGTGATGAGGTAATCTTTTGGTTTTTATTTTTTTTTACTTTACAACTAATTAACCCAAACTTATTGTGTCACTTATTAATGTTCTTTCAAGAGTCAAATACTTTACTTTTTGATGAAATTTGTTGCAACTTCTTTTACACCCTTTGTCTTTAATTATTCTTTTAACTTCTTCAAGCATCTACCGAAGAATGGACTTTTTACACTATGGAATATTAGTTTTTTAAGTAATACTTCCTCCAATCTCAAATTAATGGTCACATTTCTTTTATAAAAATTAATGTAACTTATTTTTTAGATTAAATTAAATTAGATCTATTTAATATATAAATTCAGATAATCAAATAATTATGCGATAAGTATTACAAGTTGTAAATTTTCTTATGTTTTTAATAAAAAAATGTTAATGTAATGTGTCTCAAAAAGGAAAAATATGACAACTAATATGAGATGGAGGGAGTATAAGATAAGTTTTTTATTCTTATCTAGTTCTCCCTTCATCCCAAAATAAGTGTTAATTTAGATCAATATTCCACGCCCGCAAAATAATAAATACTCCATCTGTCCCTAATTACTTGTCCATTTTTTCCTTTTATAGTTGTCCCTAATTACTTGTCCATTTTGACAAATCAAGAAATGACAAAAGAAATTACCTATTATACCCTCAATTAATTATTTTGAAAAAGGTAAATTTTTTTGAAAATCTTAAGTTTTTAATTCACCAACTTCATAATTAATAGGGGGTAAAATGGTAAACTCACTATGTCATTGTTTTCTTAATATGTGTGTCAATTCAAAAATGAACAAATAATTAGCTACAGAGGAAGTAGAAGTTCCTTAGTTATTAGATGTTTCTTGAGAATTGATCACTATTATGTGTTGAAAAGTGTGTATGCTTCAACTACAAAATTGTTACTAGTAAATGTTGGAATTTGATGGAATCTTGTGGAAATTTGAGGTATGATTGGTGCACCTTTTATTTAAAACCATTGAAAAAAAAACTAGTTTGCCACATTGGTAGATTATCAGAAACTTTATTTAGGAGCTAAGAATCACTATTAGTAATAGGTCACTGTTCTGAAAATTGTTTAAACCTCAAGGATTCCAAGTATGATTCTTACTTTAGCATGATGAGAAAGCAAATCTTGGTATTGTTCCAGAAGGTCATCATGGTTTTTAAAATAGCTATAACGATCATTTTTAATGCAATAACATATTCAATATAGTTCCACAAGTGAAATTTGAAAGTAGTAAAATTTTAACAAGACTTTACCCTTAACTTTGCAGAATAGAGAAACGGTTTTCAATAGACCCTCAATTCAAAAGAGAAAATATTCGAAGTAGGGTTTAGCAATGGTAATTATCTAATTTTAATTCCCTTCAACAAATGCCTTCATTCTCTTCATTCAACTAATAATTGCGCATTAACCTTTTTTCCCATTTGATATGGAGTTAATATCTCATGGTTATTTAATTAAAAAGTTTTATCACAGAAAGTCATTTAACTTTAATTTTTACTTTAAAAGTCACTCAATTATATGCATTTTACTTTCAAAGTTACTCAACCTTGATTTTTACTTCAAAAGTGACTCAACTATAAATGGTTAACTTACAGTTGAGTATAGTTGAGTGACTTTGTCAGTAAAACAATTCTAGTTAAATGACTTTTGAAGTAAAAATTAAAGTTAATTGATTTTGTAAGTAAAACATTTTATAATTGAGTTACTTTTGAAATAAGAATCAAGTTGAGTAATTTCGATATTAAAACACTTCAGTTGAGTGACCAGGAATGACATTAACTCTTTAATATATCTCTTGTTGATAGACTAATATCTTTAAGATATTTTTACTTTGATTGACCTTATACTTGTCTGCTTATAAGATGTTTAAATTAAAACGTAATGGTAAACTTTAGTGGATAAACTCCATTTGCATTCATTGCCCATCAAAAAATGGAATATCCAAAGATATGAACAAAACAACAAACTCCCAAATACTGATCAAAGGATCCCTATCCAATCCAATCTACCCCTATCCAACTTCTTTTCTAAAAAAGATAAACTAAACTATTAAGTTGACCATAGCTCACCACGTGGCGACATCCCAGTTGGCCAAGTCATGCCACTCTTCCAGCCTACTCAAACTGCCGTATAGCCACAAGCATTTTGCCACATTGTAAAAAAAAATTAAAGAGAAAAAGTAAGGCCAACTAATTTGGAGACAAAATTAGTATATATATATATATATATATATATATGTTCTGTTGCACCTTCTAACAAACCAAAAACACTTCTCCTATTTGCAACCAAATTTCTTATTCTGAAATGGGTTGGATCAGAGGTCATACCATAGGCCGCGGCTCCTCTGCTGCCGTCTCCGCGGCCAAGTCAATTTGGTCCGGTGAGGTTTTTGCTGTTAAGTCAGTGGAGCTATGCCAGTCGCAGTTGTTGCAGAAGGAGCAGAGAATTCTGTCCCAATTGAGCTCCCCTTATATAGTTAGCTACAAGGGGTATGATGTTACCAAAGAGAACGATAAACTCATCTTTAATCTTATGATGGAGTACATGCCGAACGGCACACTTTCCGATGAAATTCGGAAACAGAGTGGTCGGTTTAACGAACAATTGATCGGGTATTATACGAAGCAAATTCTGCTAGGATTAGAGTACTTACATTCAAGGGGCATAGCACACTGTGACATAAAGGGGGACAACATTTTGTTACGTAAAACCGGTGCCAAAATTGCAGATTTTGGTTGTTCCAGGTGGGTTGATCCGGACGGTGATGCAAACCCAATTGGAGGAACGCCAATGTTTATGGCGCCAGAGGTGGCGCGTGGGGAAGAACAGGGGTGTCCAGCAGATATTTGGGGATTGGGATGTACAATTATTGAAATGGCCACTGGTGGATCACCATGGACTAATGTGACAAACTCAGCTTCATTACTTTACAAAATTGCATTTTCTGGGCAATCCCCTGAAATTCCTAAATTCCTCTCTTTACAAGCAAGGGATTTCTTAAGCAAATGCTTGATAAGAGATGCAAAAGAAAGATGGACAGCTAAAGAGCTCCTCAAATATCCGTTTCTTAAGGAATTGAATATGCATTCCATGGCAAATCAAGATTCTGTAACAAACTCACCAACAAGCATTCTTGATCAAGACATATGGAATTCGGTAGAGGAATTAGAAACCATGAATTCTACAATACTACGAAAAGTTAGCTCACCGGAATCTCCTCTGCAAAGGGTAAGAGAATTGGGTTCGAATTCGAGTGAATTAAAGCGGATATGGAATGATGATGAGAGATGGATCACTATTAGAAGCAGTAGTAGTGAATGAGTAGCTAGTACATAATGCTGTTTTTTTTTTTTTTTTTTTTGTATATAGGAATGTAATGTAGTCTAACTCAACCCCAAAATATAACTCAATGACGGAAAAATTATCCAAAGTCATATAAGAAAACCATTCATTTCTTTTTCATTCGATGTGGACTCTTCAACATAATACACAACAGAATTAGACCTCTTGAAAATCCGTTTACATCATAAGAAGAAAAGTCTAGACAATTCTCTCTTTTCTCTTTTGCTCCCTTCTTGATGATTAATGGATAGTTTTAATACGAACGTGAAAGCAAATAATTGTTCATTATTGTAACGCACAAACAGTTGAAGAGACCTCTCAATTCATTCAATTGAGGAAAGGGTCTTAAAAAAAAAAAAAAAAAAAAAAAAAAAGGAAAGGGTCTTTAAAAGCACACAAAAGAAAACAATTTTATTGGATACACATAGATTTGGTACCCCACACCTTCATAGAAAAATAAAATAAAATAATATGGTCCCATAAAGAATGTTACTATAATATTTTTGGCCTAAATAAATAAATTATAAGAGAAGTTATGAATATACCGGATTAACTAGTCTATCCCCATGATCAAAATATACACAATACATATTACTCTCTTTGTCCATCAACGGTTATTCACTATTGATTTTACTCATTTCTTAAGAAACTATAAATAAATGATAATTTTATTATATTTGAATATAATAAATACAATATTTTGAAAACTGTAATAAGGAAATAACTATATTTAATAATGATAAAGGTAAATTAAGAACTAAGTGTAAAATTATCCATTAATTTCATAAAGTGGACAAAATATTGCTGGACATCCCAAAAAATATAATGGATAACTATTGTTGGACGGAGGAAGTATTAATTAAAATATTACCAAAAAACATATTATTTTTAACACACTAAAAAAACCATGTATTACTATTATTTTTAAATGGAGGGAATATTATTTCTTTCGACTAGGAAAAGTGGGTGCATCTTTTTCGAAATGTGAATAAAAAGGAATAAGAAATAATGTGGGACTCAAAATAATCAATTTCTTGAAAATTGAGATATTTTCAAATGATTGTTTCGTAAAGGATAACCCAATCCAATCTACCATACCCAACTTACCACACGTAATGCTCTTTGCCAACTTAAAATATACAATTTGGTAGCTGTGTCGTTTTTATTTGCCAAATAATAGTGATGTTAGAGTCATTGCCCACATAATTGTCAACCACACAATGGCTAAGCTAAAGACAATACCACGTTACATATTAAGTATTATTTATTTTATTATTACAAGAGGAAAGGGCTTTCAAACCTTTCCAAGTGATATAAAAATAAAAAAAAAATAAAAAAAAATGAATGGCTAAACCTACTCCTTAAATTTTTATAAGAGACCTAATTATTTTTTGGTGCTCCATTCAGAAAAGACTTGATTAATTTAAATTTGTATACATAAATTCACTAAAAGTATACAATAAAATAGTTTCTTTTGAAAATAACTTCATTTTTCATAGCTCAAAATCAAAACTTTAATTAAGAATGAAAATAATATTTATCACTCAATCACCTACGTTTAATTTGAGGGGGAAGAAGTGAAATATGAAAACATATAGTAGTAGATAGACATGATATAAAATGATAGGGAAGTGCAAACAAGTACAAACGTGGGTACATGCCCAACTATACGTGTAGCTGTCCTTGTAACGCAAAGCTAGCAAATTTAGTTAGTCCACTTAAATGTTTTCCATCTACAAAAGGTCATTTATACGATACACAAAATCTCCAACCAACAATCTACAATTGGCATGAGATTTGTGATTTTTTTTTTTATGTCTTATAATAAAAATTCTAACCTATTTTAGATATTCGACTATTACTCTTTCCATCTCAAATATACTTGTCATGATAATTATAAATAATTATCTTAAATTAGTAATCACTTTAAAAATTTAAGATGAATTAATTCGTAATTGTTGTTCTTAAAAGTCATAAACACTTCAGTTATGAGATAATTACACATAAATAAAGAAAATAATTGATGTAGATAGATTATATTTTAAGCTATGTAAACAAAAATCAAAATAATCAAAATCCTTGCAATACATCAAGTAATATGAGTATCAGAATAAAATATGCATTTCATTTTATTTTTTATTTTAAATATGCAAAATTCATTATATATAAATAAAAATGAGCGAAGAGAGTATATTATACAAGACAATTATCAACCACAAAAGAAATAAGCTAAGAAGAATGAATGACTCAATCTACGTCAAGCTTTTATTACTTCTTAATAAATATGCCAAATTAAATATGAGCAACAAAAAATGAATGAATTTGGAAATGTGATACTAAAGGTAAAAGTATGATTGAGAACTAAGAGCAAGTACAAACGTGAATACATGCCCAACTAAATGTCTGGTTGTCCCTGTGACGCAAATTTAGTTTGTTCACTTAATAAATATTCTATAAAAGAAGATCATTAATACTACAAACAAAATCTCCAACCAATATAAAAAACACTTGGCTCAACTTTTTTTTAATTTTTTTTGTCTCTTCAATAAAGATCCTAACCTCTGCTCCTACCTCCTCCGGGTTTTCCACTACTATTACTCCCTCCAATTTATTTTATTTGTCATATTAAATTAATTATTTACTTTTTTAAATATTCACAATAACACAAATGTCTAAAGTTTATCTTAAACGCCAAATTTTAGAATTATTTTTTCATTTTTAAATTTTATATGAAGTCAAAAGATAACACATAAATTGACACGAAACTGTACGGATGGCAATGGGGCGGGCGGATGCGGGGTGGGACTAGTTTAAGGTTGTGCGAGGCGGGGCAGAAGTGGGTTTTTTAAAGGGAAAATTGTATGAAATAGCAAACTATTAATTCAAATTAAATGCTATAACCATAGTTTATTTATTTGTAATTCGCAGCAAACATCCCATTCTTTTGCCATCGGGTTCGGTATACAATTACCCATTTTCAGTATACAATTACCCATTCGGTATACAAATGTATAAAATGTGTTTATGTTTGTATAAAGCGAGAGAAAAATGTATATACAAATACAAACACATATATTTTCGTCATATACTTATAATTATACAAATATAGATCTTCCCCTGCCCAGAAAAAACTAAAACGTTTTATATAGAAATTATCCAATTGTATAAATGAATTTATACAAAACTGAACAATTTGTATATAAATTGGATGTATTTAGCGAATTATACAAATCAAAAGTTCCATAACAAACATAAAATTTGTTATGGAGCGCAATTATGCAAACTATAGTTATAACATACAAATATGATTTTTATGTTTGTTATATTTCGGTATACATATACAAAAGAATCAATTGTATAATTTGTGTTTGTATAAAGCGAGAAAGAGAGAAAGACAAAAGAAAACAGGGCAAGGGAAGATTTGTATTTGTATAAGAGAAACTGGAGCTCTGGCCGGTAACGAAACTAAAACTTCACACGGGTCTTACTTCTTTTTTTCCAACTTGAAAGGGGAATAAAGCATGATTGCGAGCCCACTATCCTACAGGGCCCCTCTTGTGTCGGGTTAAGGCTCCACCTCATCTTGGGTTAAGGGCTTAGTTGAACCCAATTTCTTCACTTGTAGTCTAGGGCTTTGCTTGGCATTGGGCTTCGAAACATAAAAATCATATTAGTATGTTATAGCTATATTTTGCATAATTGCGCTCCATAACAAATTTTTTGTTTGCTATAGAGCTTTTGATTTGTATAATTCGGTACAAACATCCAATTTTTATACAAATTGTTCAGTTTTGTATAAATTCATTTATATATTGTAATTTGTATAATAAGATCTGTATTTATATAATTATAAGTGTATAGGACGAGAATATATGTATTTTTGTATTTGAATATTCACTTTTCTCTCTCTTTATACAAACACAAATGCATTTTACCGAAATGTATAAAACGACTAATTGTATACCGAAAATTACTAATTGTATACCGAATCAGATGACAAAAATAGGGGATGTTTGCTGCGAATTACAATTAAAATAAATTATGGCTATAGCATTTAATTTGAATTAATAGTTTACTATTTCATACAATTTTCTCTTTTTAAAAACTAATGCGGTGCGGGGCGGGTTGCGGGTAAAAGTGATTTTATGTGGGTTTAAATTTAATTTTAATTTTTTTACATGTTATAAGAGTGGTAGTGCATTATTTATTAAGATATTTTCTTTAAAGCTACTAAAATATTCAAGATAGGTAATGAAAATGGTTCAATAAAAAATAATTCAATTTTTTACATGTTTCCCAATTGACTAGGGGTGTGCATTCGATTTTTTGATTTGGTTTTGCACTATTCGGTTTGAATTTTTTGATTTTTGATTTTGTAAAAGTGTAACCCAATCCGATCCAAAATAAATTTGGTTTGGTTTGGTTTTCTTCTATTCAGTTAGGCTTTTTTCGATTTGGTTATTCGGCTATGTCAATAATTAATAACATAACCAAAGTAATAATATTGAATCTCTTAAATATACTTTCTAATATAAATCATAAGAAAAACTTAAAACACAATACTTATAAGTATACATATTACAGATGTTCATGCATAAATTATAAACGTAATCATCGTGAAAGGCAATAACCAAAAAGGGACAAAAGTGGTAAACTCCAACTTAATATATATATATGGATATAATTCAATTTTTTTTGTTTTTCGGTTTTTATTTTTTAAAATCCGAAACCAAACAAAGTAATTTATTAATCCAAAACCAATCCGAAAAACCAAAAAATCAATCCAAATAAAAATTCAATTTGATTTGGTTATTCGATTTAACCCGAATAGTGCACACCCCTACAATTGACCTCTAAAAATAAAAAATTTAGTCACTATCCTATTAAATTAATACAACTTAATGAAAAAATGAATTAATTTATATGAATTTTAATTTTAGTGTCAAAATTAACTAGAAAAAGATAATATTAAAAAAAGT